TTCCTAACACACAACTGGGGCATATAACCAGTGTCGACGCAGGCACATACACAAGGTTATAACACTTACAAACTCACGGGCCGAGTCTCTTTCAAGCAGTACACTTATAAATTAAAAAGTGCAATAAGTCCAGCAACGTACAGTCCTTCTTTAACAGGAGTTTTCGTCCGCCTATGGGGATACGAGCCATGACTCCCGCCTCGGCCTTGTCTGGCTCCTCAGGCTCTTCATTGGATTGAAAACTCAAGCTAGCCGATTGCATATACTTTTCCTTAATTGACAAGTGGGTGGGACTGGGCGGTTTCAGACTCTCCATCTTCTGATTGGCCTGCTTTCCACCCTCGCGTGGGCACGCACCTTCAGTGATGCCTGTGAGTAGGATAGAAAGGATGCACGGTGAGGGCGAGAACATACCTTGACATGCCTCCCTAACAGGTGATGAGAGAGAAACTTTTAATTTTAGCCGCTCTGTCTAGTCTCCAGTTCACCAGTTATAGGGGGGGAGGGAAATAAAAGTACAATATATATCATACTATCTAATATTCTCCTTGCGTACGTCATGCCAGCTTGCTGGGTTTCTTTTTAAAAAGAAGAAACTTAGAAATGTAAAATTTTCCGCCAAATCGTTTCTATGTTGCTTGCCTTTGATGAATGTGCAAAAATGGACCTCTGATTGACTCTCACAATGGAATGCTGCTGCTTCACGCCACACATGAGGTCACGTGATTTTAGTCCTCGGCCTACATCCGGGGAGAGCCGCATGCTCTGCGCGAACGCTTGTCTCACGGGGCCACTGGCATGTGCGTACTTATAGGTCAACCCCAATCCGTCTGACTAATCACCTTCAAGGCTGTATCACACAAAGACCATTCTCTAGACGCTTGCGACGAGTTGCGCGCTCACACCCCACCCCACCCGGCAGCGGATGCACGCTCATCCTACAGTCAACTTCCTCCTACCTATTCTTCACTTCCTCCGTACAGAACACGCTATTCATCCCATCTGGTGTCTCACTTCTTCCCTTCCAACATGAAACCGGACCGGCAGCTCTCAGTGGCAAGGGTTTTTCCCATTAAATTAACAGACTGCGATAAGCCTTACCGTAGGCTCCATAACCCAAAGTTCGACTCCTATTTTTCGCAAATGATAGTGCTGAGGATAATTACGATTAGAACGATGCCAATGATGATGAGGATGGTGATGATGATAATTGTGCCACTAGTTGCAGTAACCATGATGACAAGGGTGGCGCCTGCAATAGACGACAAGGCTATAAAATCAGTTGTCTTTAGCCTTAGCATTTTCGGATCACTTTGATGTGGAATTTGAACGCTAGAGAGTTTTCACCGCAAAAAAATCGGCTCTGTAGATAAATTGAATGACAGTCAACTTCTTATAATCACTCTAATTTTGCTCGACCCTGCCAAGAAGAAAATTGTTTGACAATAACAGACTGTAAATAAGGAGTCGCGAAATCCAAACTTGCCCTTTATTTACGCTAAAAACCTAAAAATTTAAAAAAAAACAGTATAAAACAACTTTACAGCTATTGACTCTTTTGTGCCAGTGATTTCGGTAGGTACCCATGACGATCCTTCAGCTGTGCGAGTCCAAAATTCCAAGTAAAAAAACTTATTTGAATTCAACCACAGTATCTGGAAAGATTGTCAAAAATTCATTTATTCCGTTAAGTCTACAGGGAATGAGACCCTGAACAAAATTGGCCTCGAAAGAAGGGAAGTAGTTCAACTGGGCAGAATGTTACCTTCCTTTTAGATATTTTGGTATGAGCAAGTAGACCACCTATTTCACTTGTATTCATATGATATTAAAAGCACCTAAGTCCTTTCCAAGAAAATAGTGCATCTAACATGGGAATCTTATGAAAAAAATGAAAACGAGCACCGCGGTCAAAATGCACAGAGATCATTGGGTTCATCGGATGACAGCATACTTTCCATTCCCCAGCAGCAGATACAAAGAGCACGTAACTTCGCAAAGCATGTTTTGCAAACTCGAAAAACACTGCATTCACTGAAAAAAAGGTTTAAAAGAATTTGCATAAATACCGGAGATTACGTGAAAATAGGTTTTACAGACTGTGTAATTTTTGAACAAGGCAAAGGTAACGAGATATACAGAATTTATTGACGCCATAGAATTTCGCGTCTTCTTTTTCAACTATGTACGACCATTGCTTGGAAAGAACAGCAAATAAAGAATCCAAGAGTGGAGTTACAAAGCACCTGGTGGACACTGGCCATGCGGCGGACCCAATGACTGCATCTAAGGTCGTACTTCGGGCGACGACTGGGCGTCCTCTGCGCTTAACAGAGGCCGCTGCAATACGAAGGAGAAAACCAAGGCTCTGTAAGCAGCTAGGTCACGTGATCAACCTCGCATTACCGTGGTAAGGATTGGTAATATAATTAATCTCCCATTTCCTATCCCTTGCTCTCACAGCCCCCCTCTCCTGCATGAGTGACTGTTGTCCGATGCGTCACATTTTTTACCCCGTTAAACAGATTTTTGACTTTAATTTCGAAATATGACCTCGATTAGAAAGATTTTTTGACGTGGACTTATAATATAGAATAGAATGCCGCATCAGCCCAGGACATTTTAATCAAACCAGAATGACGACTTTTCCGATCGCCTGCAAGTTACGCCTATTAAAAACGGCTACGGAAGTAACATTAACTTTTCCCTAGCTTAAGGTACCTTTATAAATGCAAGCATATTTCATAGAAGGAATGCGCTAACCTCTCATTTCTTGTACCTATTTGGTAGTAACTCACGTCTTCTTGAAAGCTTTTACGGGGTAAATGTGCATTTTTTTCTTAAAAGGATTTGCAATTAAAAACATTTTTTTCAAAACGGTGAAATGCTTATTTAACTAGTATCGGATCTGTACCTTTATTGGAGCTGCTTTTGAACCATACAGCGCCTAATTTAGTCTATAAGAACGTGATATTTGCCTACAGTCTGTAGTTTATCAGTTTGGTAACAATGTATTATAGGGATCGCCATGCCCTTGTCCGCTTTGCACAAGTGTTTATTTATTTTGTCGCAGTAAGCATGTTTTGTTTTACTACTTAGGTTTCGGCTGCGTTACTCACCACAAACGCTCTACATGTAAGTGCAACGGTAGGTCACGTTCTAAAATTCCCAGTGATTTAAAAACTTTTTACATCTAAAAGATATCGTTTCTTTGTGTGAATATATTAGCGGAAGGGGTACTTTACTGCATAGCCAGTTCAAGAAAAGATAGAATTATAAGAGCACGGAAAATCTTCTGTGTAACGCATATCATTTAATTATTCACTCTTTTGAAGGAATTGGGAGAACGCTTATTCGAAACCAGGCGTCAGGCCGTGACTAATACACAATAACCACTATTATAACTCGGCCGTAGATCTCTGTCCCAAAAAATATCATGTTTTCTAAAGACTAGCCGTGCCCCAACCTCGAGGTTCCTAGAAGATGTCGCACAATTTGACGTGGCCCTTCAATGAGTTAGCTACACTGAGCTGTAGTGTTTGTAGATCAGACATCTATCTGGCTGAATCAGACTTCTGTTTGGCAGAAACTTTGTAAAAATCTGCAAATTAATTCTTACGGATACCTTCTATGATATGCTCCATTGGCTGCATTATGACATTGTCACGTGGGAAGTACTTGTTTAAATATTCCCTGAAGCGCACATTTCGTATTCCATTAAGTTGTTGCTTCCTGCTCAGCAGAGCACCTTGAAAGGGTCCGGTACCGCCCTTTTTCAGGGCCACTGCACCACCATCATCCCCGTCGCTCGTGGGATCACTTTGGGTACGTCTTATTGGCTTTGGAATGAATATCGACTTGCTACATGCGTCGATCATCTCCGGCCTGATGCCCGGTGCGAAAAAATCGTCCTGCTTAACCTCGCCAAATACGACATCCAGTTCGCGCTCATCGCCGTCCAAGCCAGCCTTCCAGATTTTTTGATCAGTATTTTTCAATAATTCCACTACAGCTGGGCTGATAGGTTTGATTGCAGAGGTGGGCGGCGGGAAAACTCCGCCGGGGATAGGTGTACTAAGCATTACGCCATCAACGGAGCCCACGCTCCTGTTGGTCCATTAAAAGTCGTGATATGGCGCGTGGTCGGGCTGTTCAAAGCGAATAATCGATTTATGGACTCCGACCGTGTGATTCGTCTGGCCTAAATTCACCTTGAAACGGACCAATCAGTTCACGTCTGCCACCCGAAGCCATGTGGTTGGGTTGGGTAAGTGGTTTACCTATGCAAAGCGTTGTGCAACAAAATCGGCTCACAGATACGGGACAAGGGCGCAATTTACGACCTGATTCATGATCGTTATTATAAATACCTTCTTATTTTGTGAAAGTAGGGTGTTTAACTGCGCTTCGGCTCAGTTCGGTCGTGTGTTGTAGGTTGCTACTTCGGTCGCAGAATTAGCGCTATCGTGTTGGATTCTTCTATAGGACTGCTTTTTAGATGGCATCACATGTCGGCTATACCCATGAAACAGAAGTTTCTTAAGTCGATTGGTATTTTGGCAATAAAATGTACATTTTTGGTATCGTGCAATTTTTAGCTACCTTTTTAATTCTCCGGGTGATTTTAAGGCCAGAGAGGTTCTGTATGGTTTTTTGAAAAGGAAACGTTTCAACCTTAACATTTTGTAGCCTACTCCTTTAAACCCCCTTATTACCACCTGTCCCGTACTACATGTTGAAGTATCCCTTGCCGCTTGAGTGAGGTCGCATGTTGCCTCCTTTACTGTCACTTCGATACCGTTTTGTCGTACTAAAAGTTATCCCCAATACCCGCGGGACCAGCGATAGCCTATGAATGCATTCGTTTATAGTAAGGAAGACTTGTGATGTAGGGAAATCAGTTCCCCTCCTCACGCACGATGCGAAATGGAGAAAAGACGCAGGGGCTGAAAAGAGCATTCATCTCATGCACGTATCGCGTACTCGCTTGTCCTTCAATCCGTCAGCAACACACTTCAGTAACTTTTAAGTGAATATCCATCCTTCCAACCACTAACTGATATGCTGGAGTTTGATGTGGGTTGGAAACAGTTACTCGGTGGGGTTATATTATAAATTATAAGGCAACATAACCCCGTGATACTTAATTCATGCTAGGATGCCGGCTTTTGAATATGTACCTCTCCAGCTGTTTGTAAAGGCCATTCTAAAATGGCCCCTTAAGTAGTACATATGCATTATGGAAATAGAAGGTGCGATCGCTGGAATAAGAAGCTGATTTGCTTGACGTTTCGGATTCTGGCTTGAGCGCATCATCAGGCGTCACTTGTGCCTTTGCCCCCCTTTTTCTGCGGTAATCTCTGAATATGGGCTCAAGCAGGAAGCCGCAACGTCAGGCAAATCAAATTCTTGTTCCAGTGATCGCATCTTCTATGTCTGAACCGCTTCCGGGAACGCGCCTCTTCGCCTCTATCGGCAGTATGCATTATCCCCATCGATTTTCGATACTCCTATAAATCAAAATATTTTGTAAAGTGTAAGCATAAAATGGGGCTTCCTATGATTATTTTGCAAGAAATTACGTCTTCTTTATTTTATTCATCGAAAAAGTGTGGCGTTTAATATAGAGTTCGAAATCGTCAATTTTTTGGCTCATAATGAGACTATGTAAGTGGGATAGGGTTAGTACGTTTATTATTGTTTCCTTTTTATTGCAAAGCTTCGTGTGTCCTTTATGCCATAAATAGCGTATAGGAATTTTTGAGTTTTTAATTTAACGAAAATGGACATAAATGGTATACAGGTGCGATAGTGGGTCCGATTCAAATTTTCGCAGGCATTCACATTCATTTATAAAACCGGCAAATAGTCTCCCTTCGAGCAGCGAAGCTAACGAGGACCTAATTTGCTAAAAATGAATATAAGGGCAGTTTTACAAGTGCCTTCTGCAAAGTGTGTTTTTATTTTGAAGTGCATTGAAAATCAACGGAACAAATATACATATTATCTGAGTAGTCATTGGTATCTAGTGTGAAGTTCGCAGACGGTCGAAGCAAGGCGATACCCAGGCGTGACGGAAGTATTTTGGGGTTATGGTGCATGATAATCCAATTTACAACCCCGCCTAAGTAGTCCTTCTTTTAATAGTGATATTATTTAAGAAATTCAGCAACTGTTTTCTGACATGTCACCTGTTGTATCTTCAACGGTAGATTAATTACGAAAGACTATCAGTTACCAATCCTCCACAGGAGGTTTTAAACGGATTTTCGCCAACACTTCGTTTGCCAAATTTTACAGAAATACTGGAGGGATGATCGGATGCAGTAGCTGAGAAAACTAAATGGTCCGTCTACACGCGCAAAACACGAGCTGGTTCGCCTGCAGAAATCAACTCGGATTTCATCTGAAGGAGCATACCATGGAGGTCAGCATACCAAAGAGGCATGATAGGTCATTTTAAAGTAATATAGATGGGGGTGGGAATCTCGTAATAACTTTTGGCTTATTGAGATAGTCGTCTGCGAGCCACACCCTCAATCACTACGGGTAACCAGACTGCAGTTGTGATGGGTATATAATCACTCCACTTCGGGTCCTCTTATTAGATACGTCAAGAAAAGCTGAAGTATACTATACAATGTTGCATTACCAGGGATATCCAGAGTTTTTTTTCTGTGAAATTTGTCGCATTTCACTCAAACATATCCACAGCCTTAGAGCTCAAATCATTTTTTGGTTTATTTATCTGTGTTTTGAAAATCGCATTCGAGTTCAGCACCGAACATTGAAGCCAGTTCCCAAATTTATTGTCTATTTGTGCAAGAATCATTGACTGGGTCATTCATAGGGAAAACGCTTAGAAGGTCACCTCTAGTGGTCGAGAGAATGACTATCTGCAACAAGTTCAGTATGTTTAAGGTTAATAGATACTGCCTTTGAATCTGACGGAAGGTTTGCAGCCACCCTGACAAGGTGCCGATGGAGTATATGGCCCCAATTATTTTTTACTTCTGTGATATAATTACTTATGTCATTTTCCTTCCCTTTTTACCCAACTCCCATTACACATTCATCCAAAGTTACCACCAGGGCAGCGGTTGGTTTAGGGTTTGGGGTAGAGGTTAGATCTACGGTTAGGATAAGAGGTTAGACTTAGGATTAGACTTTATGCCAAGGGCTACGTTTAGGCTTAAGTATTAGGGTTAGACGTAGGCTATAGATATAAGTTTCTTGTTAGGGACTATGGGTTAAGATATAGAAGTTGTAAATTTCAATTGTACCTTAAATCACGATCCTCACAACAGTCGGACTTAACGATGTATTCTTCACACTTTTTCCTTCAGTCTGTTAGCCTATTACGGGTGGAACCAGCCTGTCTGGAATAACCAACCAGTGTCACCGGATTTGTTTCTTTCCAGTCCGTCCATAGTTCCTCACTTCCAGTATTTCAATTTGCGCACCCCTGTCTTCTCACTTTCGGTGTATTTACACAAACTAATGGTGAAAATATACTTTTACTTTCGCTTCTCAAAAACACATTCGTTTACTTCGTTTGATCCAACTGTGCAAAATTCGCGGCCTCGGTGGGAGTCGAACCCACACAGCAGGGCAGGCTTTTTCGCCACCAACGCTCCACGACTGAGCTACGAGACTCACTGTGCGCCGTGAGTTTGATAATACTTGGATCGATGTGCTTGCCCAGCGCCTACCCTTACCCCTGCTCCCATTGTTTCCGCAGCACAGGAGTTCTTGTCTCCCGTTTGCCTTATTAGACTGCATAATCGATCGTTAGCATTATCAGTCCACGGGGAAAGTGAAGGGCGCGCTGGGTGGTAAGTCGTTTGCGACAGTTTACCCTCACGTCTCGCTGCAGTCTTGCGCTCCTGTGATTGCGCTAACAATTTGCTCCCCACATGGCCGGTGAGTTTGAAAGCTTGATCACCCTCCTCTGTGGGGTTGAAGACGGATTAATGTTCACCCAACTCTAATTAAGATAAACCTTGGAGGACGAGGAGGAGAAGAAGAAGAGCCTTCTTTCTGTAGGTTCTACACAGATGGTCGGAGGCACTCACCACACGCGTACTGAACTCCACCCGGTGATTCCAGATGCTCGTCCTCCCACTCACTG